TGCTTCTGCCCTGTCATTTGAGGGTCCTCCAAGAGAGCAGGCCTACCTGAGAGTCACCCCCAACATACACCCTGGGTATCCTCAGTCCTCGGGCCCCTTGGCAGAGCTGCTCAGGCCCAAGGTGCTGAGGCTCTATAACGGCATCATCCAACCACTGTGGAAAAGAGCTTGTTTGTTTTTCAGAACATGAAACACAGAATTACCATATGACCAGCAATTCCATTCCTAGCTATACAGTCAAGAGAAATGAAAACATAGGACCACAGAGAAATGTATAAATAAATGTTTATAGCAGTATTATTCATAATAGTCAAAAGGTAGAAACAACCCAAATGCCCTTCAATGAATGAATGGATAAAAAAATTGTGGTGCAGCCACAGTGAAATATTATTCGGCCATGAAAAAGGAATGAAGTACTGATATGTGCTGCAACTTAGATGAACCTCAAAAACATGGTGCTAAGTGAAAGAAGCCAGACACAAAAGGTCACATATCGTATGACTGCTTTTATGTGATACATCCAGGATAGGTAAATCCATAGAGGCAGAGAGCAGATTAATGGTTATCAGGTCATCAGGGGATGGGGGTATTGGTGTGTGAGGTGAGGGGGGTAGGGGTGGGAATGGAGAGTGACTACTTAATGGGTACAGGGTGTATTGCTGGGGAAGTGAAAGAGTTTTGTAACTAGGGAGATGCGGTAGTTACACAAAATTGCAAACACACTAAATGCCACTGAATTGTATACTTTATAATGCTTTATTGTATGTTATGTGAATTTCCATAAACTGTACATTTTTCAGCCAACTAGCTGTTTACTAAATATCCATGATGAAAGCTTTAGCCATGGAAAGTAACTCATATACCTTATGGAGACCTCTCCATTTCTTACATGTCGCCATTGGCGTAACACTTTCTGAAACTGCTCTGCCGATTTAAACTGCCACCAGCAAAGTCTACAGGTGTCTTGTTTTGTTTTGGAAGTACTGCACGGCTTGCAGGATCTTAGTTCCCCAGCCGGGGATCAAACCCATGCCCCTTGCAGTGGAAGCGCGGAGTCCTAACCACTGGACCGCCAGGGAAGTCCCTGGAGCCTACAAGTTTCATTGCAACTTTACCAGCATTTGCAGACCACAATTTTTAAATGTCAACTTTTTTAAAAAATATAAATTTATTTATTTTTGGCTGCGTTGGGTCTTCGTGGCTGTGTGCGGGCTTTCTCTAGCTGCGGCGAGCAGGGGCCACTCTTCGTTGCGGTGCGCAGGCCTCTCAATGCAGTGGCCTCTCGTTGCGGAGCACGGGCTCCAGGCGCGGGGGGCTTCAGCACCCGCGGCTCGCGGACTCCAGAGCGCAGGCTCAGCAGTTGTGGCACACGGGCCCAGTTGCTCTGCGCAATGTGGGATCGTCCCGGACCAGGGATCGAACCCGTGTCCCCTGCATTGGCAGGCAGACTCGTAACCACTGCACCACCAGGGAAGCCCAAATCTCAACTTTTTTGTTTAAGGTAATTTACATACCATAACATTTACCCCTTTAAAGTGTACAGTTCAGTGGTTTTTAGTATATTCACAAAGTTGTGCAACCATCACCACTATCTTATTCCAGAACATTTGCATCAGCATCACCCAAAACAAGCCGGTGCCCATTAGCAGTCACTTCCCATCCCTCCCCGCACCACCCCCCCGAGCCCCTGATAATCGCGCATCTACTTTGTCAAATCTATGGATTTGCCTATTCTGGACATTTCATAGAATAGAATCACACAATATATGGGTTTTGGGTTTTTTCTGGGGGGAGTTGTTTGGTTTTTAAATACTGTTTATTTACTTTGGCTGTGCCAGGTCTTAGTTGCGGCATGCGGGATCTTTTAGTTGCGGCATGCAAACTCTTAGTTGTGGCATGCATGTAGAATCTAGTTCCCCAAGCAGGGATGGAACTGGGCCCCCCTGCATTGGGGGCTCAGAGTCTTACCCACTGGACCACCAGGGAAATCCCAGTATATGGTTTTTTGTGTATGACTCCTTTCATCTAATATAATGTTTTCAAGGTTCATGTATGTTGTAACAGATATCAGTACTTCATTCCTTTCTGTGGCTGAATAGTCTACTGTATGGATATACCGCATTTTGTTTATCCATCCATCAGTTGATAGGCAGTTGGGTTGTTTCCACATTTTTGGCTCTTATGGATTCCCCTACTAAGAACATTTATGTACCAGTTTTTGTGCAAACATATGACTTAATTTCTCTTGGTTAGATACTTAGGAATGGAAACTCTGGGTCATATAGCAACTCTTTGTTTCATCATTTCAGGAACTGCTGAACTGTTTTCCAAAGTAGCTGCACCATTTTACGTTCCCACCAGCAGTGTGTGAGGATTTCAATCACTCCACATCCTTGCCGATGCTTGTTAATATCTTTTGTTTTGATTGTAGTCATCCCAATGGGTGTGAAGTGATATCTCATTGTGGTTTTGAGTTGCACGTCCCTAGTGACTAAACTAGTGAACATCTTTTCATGCGCTTATTGGCCCTTTTTATATCTCCTTTGGAGAAATGTCTTCTGAAATCTTTTGACCATTTGGATTATTTGCCTTTTTATTGTTGAGTGGTAAAGATTTACGTATATTCTAGATACAAGTCTCTTATCCAATATATGATTTGCAACTATTTTTCCCATTCTGTGGGTTGTCTTTTCACTTTGCTGACAGTAACCTTTGCAACACAAAAAATTCTTTATTTTGATGAGGTTTAATTTATTTTTTCTTTTGTTGCTTGGCCTTTTTGTGTCATATCTAAAAAATGATTGCTTAATCCAAGGTCATAAAGATTTACCTCTATGATTTCTTCTAAGAATTTTATAGTTTTAGCTGTTACATGAATGAATTACATTCATCTGAAGTTAATTTTTGTATATGGTATGAATTAGGGATTCTTTTGCATGTGGTTATCCAGCTGTCCCTGCATCTTTTGTTGAAAAAAACCTATTCTTTACTTATTGAACTGTCTTGGTGCCCTTACTGAAAATCAATTGGTCATGAATGAAGGAACTTGTTTCTGGGCTTTCAGTTCTACTCTGTTAATTTTTATGTCTATCCTTATGTTACTACCACACTATCTTGATTACTGTAGTTTTGTAGTAAGTTTTGAAATTGGGAAGTGTGAATTCCCCAGCTTTGTTCTTCTTTTTCAGGGTTGCTGTATTATTTTGCCAGAGTTGCCATAACAAAGGACCACAGTCTGGGTGACTTAAACAAGAGAAGTTAATTGTCTCACAATCCTAGAGGCTACAAGTCTGAAATCAAGGTGTTAGCAGGGTTGGTTCCTTCTGAGAGCTGTGTGAGAGAATCCATGCCTCTTTCCTAGTTTCTGGTAGCCTCACACATTCCTTGGCTTATAGATGGCATTCTCCCTCTGGCTTCACATTGTCTTCCCTCTGACCCGTCTGTCTCTGTGTCCAAATTTCCCCCTTTTACAAGGACACCAGGCATATTAGACTAGGGCCCACCTCTGTAATCATCTTAATTTGACTAACGGCCTTATCTTTAAATAAGGTCACGTTCTGAGGTACTGGGGGTTATGACTCCACATATATTTTATGTGGAGACACATATCAATCCATAATAATTGTTTGGCTATTCTGGGTCCCTTGCATTTCCAAGTGAATTATGATCGGCTTGTTCATTTCTGAAAAAAAAAAAAAAGCAGCTGAGATTCTCATAGGGATCACACTGAATGTATAGATCAGTTTGGGAAGTATTACCATTTTAACAATATTAAGTCTTCTAACCCATGAACATGGAACATCTTTCCATTTAGTTACGTCTTCTTTAATTTCTCTCAATTATGTTTTCTAGTTTTTAATGTACAGTCTTGAACTTCCCTTATTAAATTTATTCCTAAGTATTCTATTCTTTTTGATGCTATTGTAAACGGAATGGTTTTCTTAATATCATCTTCAGATTGTTCATTGCTAGTGTATAGAAACACAATTGGTTTTTGGTTTTTTTTGTTTGTTTTTTTTTGCGGTACGCGGGCATCTCACTGTTGTGGCCTCTCCCGCTGTAGAGCACAGGCTCCGGACGCGCAGGCTCAGAGGCCATGGCTCACGGGCCCAGCCGCTCTGCGGCATGTGGGAGCTTCCCGGACTGGGGCACGAACCCGTGTCCCCTGCATCGGCAGGTGGACCCTCAACCACTGCGCCACCAGGGAAGCCCTAGACTTCCCCTTAATGAGCACATACTCTCTGCCAGGAACTATGTTGTGCTGAGCACTGGGACAGGCATTCATCTCCTTTGATCCTCATTACAACCCTGTGAAGTAGGGACTTTCATTATCCTTATTTTACAGATGAGGAAACTGAGGCTCCAGGTCTCATGATGGGTAAAGGGCAGAGGCAGAGCTTGAGCCAGTTGTCTGATCCCAGAGCTTCAGCTATTAAGATTGCATTGTCAGATGTGAAACCAGGTGGACCTGGGGTCAAATCCCAACCCTAGCTACTTGTCCACAGTTATCCTAACCCCTCTGAGCCCATTTCTTCACCTGTAAATGGGGATGATACATCCCACCCATGTGAGCTGTTTAAGAAGGTTACTGGATGCTGCATTTGAAGAGTCTACCAAGGAGCTGGTATCCAGGAGGTGCTCAATCTATGTTCATTTCCCTTCTTTGAGACCCCCCAGAGCCCTCCTCATTCACACAACCTCATCACTGCTCTCTGGAGCCATGGGGAGTGCCCATGATTTGTTCTCTCACTAACTTCCTGGTTAACTTCAACTGAGCACGTGCGCCAGGCCAGAATGCTGTGCTTCACATAGGCTGCCAAACAACCTTCCAGGGAGGAGCTACCTTCCAGAGAGGCTCAGCAACCTGTCTGAGGTCACACAGCCAAGCAGTGATTGCAGAGCTAGCATTTTACTCCAGATCTGACCTTATCCCTCCCAGACACCATCTAGAACCCCCAAGGGCAGCAAGTGGCTAGCTCCTGGCACATGAGCCCTGGGACATGAGACAGACCAGGCAGGAGGGTGTGGAGCTTCTTGGGAGGGTCTGCTGTGGCTATGGGACCTGAGCAGGCCTCTTGCCCCAGGATGTGCCTACTGAGGTGATGCCACCATTATAGATGAATACCTACGCAGCAGCTCAGATGGACAAGCCAAATGAGAAGCCTTCCAGGAATTGATAAGCAACGTTGTCATGAACATTGAATTTTTCCAGAAACCTCCAAGGTAAGCCTATCCCTGTCTACCTGTCCCACCTTTCCCACCTGGGCCCAGGAGCTGAGTTATCACAAGTGACATGGTGCCACGCTCCACTGCTACCCCCACTCTCCACTTCATCTCAGGGATGCAGTGTCACAGCAATGAGAGGCGACTCTGGCAGGGCACTCTGCAGAGGAGAAAACCAAGGCACAGAGAGGTGCAGTGACTTGCCAAAGGTCACCCAGCAGGACTTATCACCAATTCTCAGGGATTCAATTGACTCATGAGTGATTTCTTCTGCTTTCAGCCCTTCTCCTGGGAGAAAAGTCTTGCTTCCTCCAAACCTCATGGCTAATCTCTAACACAGTCCTAGAACAGCTCCAGGTTCCTGTCTTTGTGACCTCCGGCAGATACCTAACCCTTCTGTGCCTCAGTCTCCTTGTTTGTAAAATGGCAATAATAATACATAATGAGCGAATCCATAGGTTTTTATGAGGATAAAATGAACAGTGACACATAAAGTACATGGAATGGTGCTCAACACCTAGCAAGCGCTCAGGAAAGGCTTGCTGTTCACCATTTTGTCATCATCATTATTATTACTTGTATTGGTGTTATGATGAGCCTGGCTTACCAAAGATAGGACCTGATCAGGCTGTGGGTATCTACTTCTCATCCAGCCATCTCTCCACAGATTCTGGGGTCTCCATCTTTTTCTATGAGTTCCAGCATCGACCCAGTTCTTTTGCGAAGATCAAGCCGGCCTGGGTGCGGGCTGATCATGGGGCTGAGAAGACCTTCATCTTCGGGGGTCCTTTCCTCATGGAAAGGAGGTCCTTTCCTCGGGGGTCCTTTCAGCATGAGAGCTCCATGCTGGGTGAGGATGAACAGACACAAGATCCTTAGGCTGCCGGCTCCACCAGGGTAGGACGGGGCATGCAGGAACAGAGGTCTCAGGTCATCAGAGGGGACCCTTGAGTCTCCTCCAGGACCCACGTGACCTTGATCCAGGTCTGTCCCTCTCATAACCTTTCCAGAAGCCACAGGGGAGGAGCAGGAGCTGAGCCTCACCATGATGGCCCAGTGGACCCACTTCTCCTGGACAGGGTGAGTAAGCAAAGAGGCATGCCTGGCTTTCGGCCTAGACTACTCAGATCTGCCTCCCAGGGAGCAATACAGGAGACCTTTGTCTTCATTCATTCCTCCCAGCCAGGGATCCCAATGGCAAGGGGCTGCCTCCTTGGCCCCCATTCAACTGTTCAGAGCAATACCTGGAAATCAGCCTGGTGCCACAGGTCAGCCAGAAGCTAAGGAAGGCCCGACAGCAGTTCTGGGCAGAGACACTTCCCACCAAGATTGGGCAGTGGCAGCAGAAGCAGAAGGGCAGGAAGGCCCAGGGGGAGCTCGGAGGCAGGTCCTGGGTCTTCTGGGCTGGGGGCCAACCCGAGGGGTGGCCACATCCCAACAAGGCAGCCTCCTTCACCCCTGCTAAGAGACTTTAACCCAAACCAGGCTGATGGGTGGTCATGTCCCTTAAAGCATCAGCCCCTCCATGACTCCTTTGACATATCACCTACTTCCCATCTACAGGGCCTTTGCCCAAACTTCTCCTTCTTCCCACTTGCTTCATGGCGAGGTCCAGCTCGCACCTCAAGCTCCCCAGAGGACCCTCCTCCTCTAGGAAGTCTTCCCTGCCTTCTCTGGTCCTGGCCCTATCTGTGTCCATTACAGCATAGCCCACTCTAAGCTAGCATTGTCAGTGTCATTGTCAGTGTTTCTGTCCTCCTCTGAGAAGCTCTCTGAGTGTGGAAATCAGCCTGACCCCACTCTGCATCTCCCATAGTAGGATCAGTCAGGACTTGGAATCAGAGGATGCTTGGTGAGTGAGTGAAAGACTGAGAAAGTGTGAGAACGGTGACTGCTGGACTTGAACCCAGGCCCTTTAGGCACCACAGCTCCGCTTAGTTCTGCACAGGTGTTGTCCTCCCTGACCAGAAGAGTGGGCAGACTCCGACGGCAGAGACCTGGAGTCAGAGGAGTCCTGAGGCATAAGGGGATCCAGCCGAGAACAGATCTCAGGCCCCACAGGCCTCTGACTAGGGCTGAGGGAAGTCCCTTTGTCCGTGCTGCCCAGTCTTGGCCCTTGTACAAGGCAGAGCAGAGTCCAGCAGGGCCAGAGCCCTGACCCTTGGACATGAGATGCAAGCTTCCCAGCGCCAGCACCTCACCCCTTTATGGCCTGCCTGGGCTCTTTCCTCCCGCTCCAGCTAGGGAAGATCACCTTCTGGGCTGCTTGGCACAGGTCGCGGAGCACCCACCGGGACACAGGAGAACAGGTTGGGGGAGGCATCTGGACTAGTGCATCAGTCAGGCTGTTGTCACGAGGTAGACGAGGTCTACCCACTCAGGCTACAACAGGTAAGAAGCAGCCAGAGGTTTTTGAGTAGGGGGGCACACATTTCTTTTTTTGAGGATCAATGCACCGTTCCCTTGAGAAATCTGGATTTTAATACATATCACAATGACTTCCCCTGCCCCCGCTGAATCCCATCCTGCCGACTCTGGTCCCACAGGTACCCTTCCTCAGTCTGACTAAGTTCCTGGCTGCTGACGGTTACATGAAAAACACTTGCAGGTGAGACCAGTTGTGTTTGGGGAAAGTTTATCTGGGGCAGAAAAGAGAGTCATAAACCAGAGGAGTTCTGAGTCCTGCCATTCCTCTGCTCAAAAGCTCCCTGTCGCCCCCGGGGCAAGTTCAAGTTCTTTATACCGGCCTTGAAGGCCTCCTATTCTTCTCCCCTCTTTCCACCAGGAAACTTGCCCCCACAAGCTGATAAGAGAGCCTGACAGGTTAAACAGGCCCCATTCACAGTGTGTCACCGGGGACGGGATGCAAAGGGCTATAGGCGTGAGGAGGCATAGACCGGCTGTGACTTGGGACAGGGGAGGGGGGACATCTAAACTGAGACCTGAAGGACAAGCAGAAGTTGCACAGGCCAGAAGAGTAGGTTCGAGGGATGGGAACAAAGAGGAAGGGTGTTCCTGGTAGAGGGAACGGCAGGAACAAAGGCCTGGAGGTTGAGATGTGCTGAGAAAACACAGTTCTGTACATCTGGAGAGGCCAGCAAAGACCAGACTGTGAGGGCCCTTGTGGGCTCGACTGGAAACCCGGGGATGACATGAACAGGTTGGAGGTCGTGGGTGAGAGCGCGGACAGGGAGAGCAGGGAGGGGGTCAGTGGGGGCTTCCGGGTAGGTGGAAGGCACTGGTGGGCTCTAGATATAGAAGTGACAGGCAGACCTGGTATCCAAGGGGACACAAAGGTGGGAGAAGGAAGACTTCCCGGGGCTGCGTGGAGGCGGGCAGGACTGGCCTGGGAATCAGGGCTCGGTTTTGACCATGCTGGATGCACAGACAGGCCTCTTCCTGCGGGCTTGAGGGTGCAGCACACCTGGCAACCACGGGGAGGCAGGGGTTGTTGGGCGGGGGACGTCACCAGCTTTGGTGTCACCATTGCCAAAGGGCTCTGAGGGGTTGGGCAAGCCTGCTGGTGAGGCCTCAGACCCTGTCTCACTGCCAACTTTCCCTGCCTCTCCTCCTCCTCCCCCCAGCTTCTAGGATTTTCTCCTCACGGGGAGGGAGGGGAATGGCCTGGCACGGCCCCAGTGGCTTGGGGGAGTGCTCAGACAAGGGGTGCTCCTGGGATTCCAGTCTTCTTGCCTCTCTATTCTCCTTTCCCTGGGCCACTACTCACGGAACTCCCCCCCCCTGCCGGCCAGGGCATCCTCCATCCACCGATGGCCCTGCCCCAGGACCCAGCAGCCACAGAGCTCAGGGGAGCAAGCCAGGGGCACCCACAAACTCAGACGGAACAGGCCCTGCAGGGCAGGGACTGGTAGACTCAGGGAGCCTCTCCGTGGCAGGGTGACAGGAAGGGTCCTGTGAGCACTGTGTGTGAGCACCAGGGGGTACTGCAGGATCAGATGTGCACACCTGGACCCAGCCACCAGGCAAGGGACTGGTAGATGCTCCCAGTAGACACAGGCAAGCATGTACGTACCCAGCGCCAGACATAGATACTCACACACAGAGGGACAGGCCAACAGCTCAGCCTCTCCTGGGGGCAGCAGGGCAGGGACATTTAGACGTCTGGGAGGATGGGTGGTAGAGAGCTGGGAGTGTGGACATTTATATTTACATTTTAATAAAATGTATCTTATAATTTACATAATTTTATATGTTTATAATTGTATATTTATATTCTTTATAAAATTAATATTATATAAAAGTCGTATTATATTAGTATATATATATTAGTGTATGTGTATGTGTGTGTGTGTGTGTGTGTGTGTAAAACCATCATGTAACCACCAACCAGATCAAGATCTAGAACATTTCCAGCAGCCGACATGCCCCTTCCCAGTCAATACCCTCAAAGTAACCACTGTTCTGACCTCTATCATAAATAAGTTTTGCCCATATTAATGCATTTTAAAAAATGGTTTTTTTGGCCACATCACGCAGCATGCATGATCTTAGTTCCCCGACCAGGGATCGAACCTGTGCCCCCTGCAGTAGAAGCGGAGTTTTAACTGCTGGACCACCAGGGAAGTCCCTGCATTAAAAATTTTTTTAACTTGAGAGAAACTTCGCTAAAACCGCTTTTAGCATTTTGGCACATTTTCTCTTAGTTTTTTTATTGCATATTTGTATATAGCTGTGATATTAGCATGCATACAATTTTATACTCTGCTTTTATTCACTTAAAATCATAACATAAACAGTTTATAACTTAAGTTTATAGTTATATTTATGTTGCCTGGTCCCCAGATACAAATAATGCTTCCCATACTCACGATAGCATATATGACTATGGTTCATAAAAGTCTTTCTTTTAATGCGTTTCTGACTATTTTCATAAGGGTGGGACCCCTTATGAAAATAGTCAGAAAACTATGTGAACATTTTATGGCTCTTATACATTTTGCCAAATTATTTTCCTGCAGTGGTGTATCAATTTATCCTACACTAACAGTATATGTGAATGTCCTTTTCATTGTATCTTTGCCACAATTGGGTGCCACCATTTGTAATTTATTAGTGGGAATTGTGACTCCTGGTTTTAATTAACATTTTATGACTACTAAAAATGTGGAATATTGTTTTCATAAGTGCTTACATATTGCCTCTGGATAGCAGAGCTGGGATGGAGACCACTCCACCTCAGCTCCTGTTCAGGGGTGTAGAGCACTCTGTCACGTGCTTAGGTGCCCCCAGTGGCTGGGGTGAGGACAGTAAAACACTACTGTTGGGCTTCCCTGGTGGCACAGTAGTTGAGAGTCCGCCTGCCGATGCAGGGGACGCGGGTTCGTGCCCCGGTCCGGGAAGATCCCACATGCCGCGGAGCGGCTGGGCCCGTGAGCCGTGGCTGCTGAGCCTGTGCATCCGGAGCCTGTGCTCCGCAATGGGAGAGGCCACAACAGTAAGAGGCCCACGTACCACAAAAACAAAAAACACTACTTTTTAGAGCAGAACTCTGATGTGAGCCATTCTGTGTCACTTTGGGCAAGTTATATAACCCTTTGAACTTCCATCCACGTTTGTGTAGTGGGAACATAGTAACAGTTACCTTATAAATGTTTTAGGAGGATGAGGTAAAAATGGTACATAAGTGTTTGGCACAGCGCCAAGCTATAATCGAGGCTCAGTCAATCACAGTCGTTGGCTATTCAATAAGTGGACCCAGAATTCAGGGCAAATCTGGGTAATATGATAGACCTTGGCCTCCTGGCTCTGTCCTGTGAGACCTCAGGCTGGTCACTGATCATCTCTGGGCCTCCAAGCCTCACCCCACTCCTCCCAGGGCAAATGAGAAGCCTATGTGAGAGGACCATGTGAAAGGGCTTTGTAAATTGCAAAGGGCTACATACACAGAGGAGATTTGAGATGGCCCCATGCTGCCACTGACCTGCCTCCATGCCTGAAGGGCCACCATTACAGCCAATTCTTTGTGCCTGGATATTGCTTATGTAAGACCAGGAGAGACCTGGGGATGTGGGCAGAGAGGTATTTTTGGCCAGCTGCAGCTGGGGTGTGAGGACGTGTTCACACCACACCAATACCAAATGCTGTCCCAAACAGCAGTTGCGTCAAAGTCTCCTAGAGAGGGTTGCAAATCTAATTTCCTGATGCAACCTGAGATTCCCTTTCAGAGGGTGTAGGGGGGACCTAAGAATCTGAATTTCCCAATGATTCCCCCAGGTGATTCTCATGCACAATCAAGTTCAATAAAATTTGGATCAGATTTGCCTTCTGTCACTTTGCAGAGTGAGCCTCCAGGGGACCAGGGCACAGAAAAATTCAGGGTTTTTTTTTTTTTTTTTTTTCCCATGTGGCTTGTGAGATCTTAGTTCCCTGACCAGGGATTGAACCCGGGCCCTCGGCAGTGAGAGTGCAGAGTCCTAACCACTGGACCACCAGTGAATTCCCAAAAAATTCAGTTTTGATAAATGGGGTGGAGGAGAAAGAAAGGACAGGGGTGCTTCAGGAAGGGGCAACAAATGTGAGGTCTCAGTGACCCTCGGCAACAGGAGCGAGGCAGGGTAAGGGCGTAGAACAAGAGGTGTCCATTGGCAGAGTCTAAATTCAACTTGGTGTAGTTTGTATCCATTGCAAGAGCTAGCTATGGTGTAGGTATGCTTGTAGTGTACAGATGTGAATGTATGCTACATATGGATACATTGTAACCTATATATAACTATACTTATATGCATGTGGGCACACATTTTTTAAAGATTAATTAATTAATTAATTTTTAACTTTATTTTTGGCTGTGTTGGGTCTTCATTGCTGCGCACAGGCTTTCTCTAGTTGCGGTGAGTGGGGGCTACCCTTCGTTGAGGTGCACAGGCTTCCCATTGTCGTGACTTCTCTTGTTGTGGAGCATGGGCTCTAGGCGCTCGGGCTTCAGTGGTTGTGGAGCCAGGCACGCTCCACGGCATGTGGGATCTTCCCGGGCCAGGGCTCGAACCCATGTCTCTTGCATTGGCAGACGGATTCTTAACCACTGCGCCACCAGGGAAGCCCTGGGCATGCATTTAACTCTTGTGTTCCCCCATGTTTTTTTTTTTGTAAATGAGCTGTGTTCATATATACCCATGTGTGTATAAATTTGCGTGTACATGTAAATATTAATGTGAGTGTGGATATATGTATGAGAATGCATATATGTGTGTGATTTCTTCCCAGAAAAATGCCAGGCAGATGTTAGCAACAAGAAAGATATATAGTCATACCAATATCAGACAAACAGAAATCAAAATAAATGACACATTTATTGACATTAAATGACCAACCGAAAAGTATTCATATAACAGACATGAACTTTTACGCATCTACCAACATAACTTTGAAATCTTAAATCAAATAACGATAGAGAAAAATACTAAGAGGAACACAGAAAAAGAAGACAAATACACAATTGTGAAAAGCTTCAAGCTGGTGCTGGTGCCTGTGGCAGATGGGCCAAGGTGTTTTCGGTGTCCAGGGTGACCCTTCTTCTCTCTTCCTAGGTGCCTTGCATACCAAGGAGCCTCTAGTGGTTACCAAATATGGGACCCTCCAAGAAAGCAGGTACACGTGGGTAAGACACCCATCAATGCCTTCCTAGGAGTTCCCTTCTACAGACCTCCTGTGGGTGCCTGCAAGTTCACTGCCCCAGAACCCCCAGAGCCCTGGGAAGGAATCAGAGATGCTACCACCTATGCCCCAGTGTAAGAGCCAGAGGACTGTCAGCTGGGATGTGGGCAGACCCTGAGGAAGGTGGTGAACCTATGCCTGCCTCTGGGCCGCGGTTTGAACAACCCACTGAAAAGAGTGCTCTGTGTGGCCACAGGCAGTCCTGGCAACCATTCTGGGCCTCAGTTTCCAAACCTATATAATGAAGTGGCTGGTCCAGATGGTGTTTAAGGCACTGATAATGCTGTTCTTGATTCTCTCATGGGAGAGCTCCAGGCAAGGAGGAGGTGCATACTGACTGTGCCCCCAGGACCTGCTGGGGAGCTGAGTTTCCCTAAATGTGTGTGAGGAGCAGTACACACACATACACACATACACACACACACACACACACACACACACACACAGAGTGAACCCTGAGCTCTTCCCTCTTCCTTGGTGCTTGAACCTAAGAACAAGCCCACGTGGCACCACCAGCCCTTCCCTGCAGAAGGAGGCCAAAATGGGGAGGGCATGGGCTCAGTTTCAGTTTTAATGTCCCAGGGTCTCAGTGCAACCTCTAGCTGGGCTCAAGCCCTGAATCACATGAGCATGTTGGGACAATGGCTGCCCTTTGACGCACTGGGCTTGGCAGTTTACCAAGAACAAGTGTATTTACTGTTTACATAGACCATTGAGTAACCCACTGTCCAGAACATTCTGTGGTGAACATTAACAATGTTCAGCATCAGTTGGATAAAGTATTGGCTTTAGAAAAATGTCTACTGTGAGAACCTGGGTGTCAGGTGATATAGAAAACTACAACTACCACACTGGAGGTCTAGTTGTTAAAAACACGGTGTCCACTGTTATTTTTTTTTTTTATTTTTATTTTTTGCGGTACGCGGGCCTCTCACTGTTGCAGCCTCTCCCGTTGCGGAGCACAGGCTCCAGACGCGCAGGCTCAGCGGCCATGGCTCACGGGCCCAGCCGCTCCGCGGCATGTGGGATCTTCCCGGACCAGGGCACGAACCCCCGTCCCCTGCATCAGCAGGCAGATTCTCAACCACTGCGCCACCAGGGAAGCCCAAAAACACAGTGTCCACTGTTAGAACATGATTGACTGTTACTAGAACACTGGCATGTTGGTTGTTAAAACACTGGCCATCACTGAGAGAAACCAAGGTATTCTGAACATTGTGTGACTGTTACTTGGAACTCCATGGATCAGGTGACAGAACATGGAATAACCATTGTTAGAACCCTGAGGATCAGGGGTTTAGAGATTGGGGTGTCCCTTGCATAGAAGTCTGGGTGTCAGTTGTTGGAACATTGGCCATGAGCTGTCAGACATTGGCTGTTTGGAACACAGAGTGTTAGAAGTAAGAATGTGTGGATGGCTTAGAACAGACTGTGGGGTGGCAATTAAGCGGGGAACAGGGAGAGAGGAAGCTGTTACAGAGATGGTGGCTTCCACCAGAGTAGTTACAGTGGAGGTGGTGGGAGTGGTCAGGCTCCAGATTTATTTTGAAGGTAAAATTGACAGGATTTGCTAGAGAATTGGATGTGAGCCACGAGGGAAGAAGAATAATCAAGGATAATAACTAGTTTCAGGGCAGAGCAGCAAGGGGAATAGAGGTACAATTTACTGAAATGGAGAAGACTAGATAAAGAGCAGGTTTGGGCAAAACAAGAGTTCATTTGGGGGCGTGTTAAGTTTGACATGTCTAATAGATATCCATGTAGAGATGTGGGGTAGGTAGTCTGGATAAATGGAGCTGGAAGGAGACCGGTCATCAGCAGGTTAACAGTGTGAAGCCCTAGGCCTGAAGGACAGCAGCTCAGGAAAGAATAATCAGGATGAAAAGAGAAATGAGGGTTGAGGCCTGGGGCGCTCTCCAGCTTAGGCCAGGAAGAAGAGGAGGTGTGAGGTGGCAGAAAAATCAGGAGAGTGGGATTACAGAAGCCCAGAGAAGGAAAGCTGTTCAAGAAGGAGAGTGTGGTCAACCATGTAGAGGGGCTACCAGGGCAAGTAAGATGATGAGAGAGATTTAGCAAGATGGAAGTCACTGGTGACCTGGACGAAAATGGCTTTGGTGGCGGGTTGGGGACAGCTGCCTCAAATGCTTATAACCCCTGTTCTAGGCTGTAAGAGGCCTGGCTTTCCTGCTGGGATGCTGCATGTGATTTATTGGACAGCATCCTAACGACATTAGCTGCTGCCAAGAGGTCAAGCAAGGAAGGCCGAAGACAATCTGTAGAGACAGAGACAAGCTGCCTGCTCGTGACCTTGGAGAGGCTGGTGGGGGCAGAGGGAAGGACAACTTGTTGAAACATTTGGCCTTGAGGGGAAGAGAGAGATAGCATAGTTGTTGGAGAAGGTGGCTGGTAGAGGATAGGTTTGGACCAAGGTATGTTGAAGTGCTGTTGGGAAGACTGAAAGGGAGCAGGTGATGCTCTAGGGTTAGGGAGGTGGGAGTGGATTACACCTATGTTCACACACACATACACACACTGAAGACAGGCTGGGACAAGAGAAAGGAACAGAGGAATAGGTAGACAGGGATTCCTGCATTCAGTCAAATGGGCCCAGCCCCAGCTGTTATAAGAATAGCCACCCTCAGGGCTGGGCCAGCAGGGAGAAAAGGCAAGGTGGACCAATAGCCTAAGCTCCATAAGTATACCAGATGTCCACACAGTGCAAGGCACAGGGCCAAGTGCCAGGAATCAGATGAATACACCTACATCCCTGCCCTTTGGGAGTAAAAACAACCAATCAAAATAACTCCAACCCGGTATTGTAGTCAATGGTGGATAGAGCTTTGGGAAGCACAGAGGGGAAAGTGCCCAGCAGGGGGCGCACCACTTAAGCTGGACCTTAAATGTGAGTAGGAGTTTGCTGGGCAGAGGAGACGGCATTTGGTAGACAGAACAGAAGTACAGGGGCTTGCAGGTGAGAGGCAAGGGGTCATGTGTATTTGGAACAAAGAATGGCTGGGAAGGAGATGACTAGATGGAAAGGAGGGCCTAGGTCAGTGTGGGTGCATGAGGGCAGGAGGAGCCAGGGAAGGTAATGAGGAGGGGAATGACGTGGTCAGATTTGTGTTGTCTGTCAATCTCTCTGGCCAGCATGTGGAGGATGAGTTGCAGGGGAGATGAAGAGGCAGGGGCAGAGTCCTGGCCAGAGTGGTGGTGGCCTTCACAGGGCAGCAGCCCTGAGATGGACAGAGGGGGCCTATTCAAAGGTTGTTTGTGAGGCAGAACAGAGACTGAGCAGAGGACAGGGCACGAAGGAAAGGAGGTGCCCAGGACACCCAGGTTTATGGCTTGACAGCACCAATGTGTCTCCAGCAGGAGCAGGGAACCGCTTCCCAGGCAGACCCATAAGGCAAGGCACAGGCAGGGGGTGCCAGCCTGCCTCCCATCCCTGGACCTAACGTTAGTGAAGGCTGCTAGGACACGGATACACACACGCACACACATACACACATATTGCCTGGATTTTGCTTTGGGTTCTGGCCCCTCACTGCAGAACCTGGGTTGAAACCACTCTCCCCACTATTCTCGCAGCGCTGGGCTCCAACTCACATCGTGCCCACAGGTGCCTTCAGGAGTCCTGGAGGCAGATCACCTCCATGTACTTCAACACACACAAAAAATACAAGTGGCTGCATTTCAGTGAGGACTGTCTGTACCTGAATGTGTACGTGCCAGTAGGAGCGCTCGGGGACCCTCTGCTGCCTGTGAGTACTCAGCCTTCAGCCACGCACCATCCCACTCAAGCACCCCACTGTCCCGCTCAGGCCTCAGCCCTTCTCGCCCAGGTGATGGTCTGGTTCCCAGGACACGCCTTCCTCGTGGGCTCCGCTTCCACGTATGATGGCTCCAAATTGGCAGCCCGGGAGAAAGTGGTGCTAGTGCTCCTGCACCACAGCCTCGGTGTCCCGGGCTTCCTTAGGTGGGCGGGGCCGGGAACCCGAGGCGGGGACCAGGGGCGGGGCCTCCTCTGGACTTGGGCTCAGGGAGGGGGGAGGAGAGGATTGGGCGGAAGGAAAGGGGCACGCCCTATGGGGCGTATCCGCGTGAGGGGCGTGACAGGGGCATGGTCTAATGCTTGTTGGAGCAGACAGGTGCTTGCTACCGCCTCAATGGGGCGGCGCCCAATTATAAGGAAGGAGATGCGGTGGTAAGACCCAGTCTCTGAGGGACACAGGGGGCGAGGCGGGGGCCCCCAGCACCCAAGCGTCGGGGCTCCGGACCCTGATCGTGAGCCCCGCGCGCTCAGCACAGGCGATAGCCAGGCCCGCGGGAACTGGGCGCCGCTGGACCAGGTTGCAGCTCTGCGCTGGGTGCCGAAGAACATCGCAGCCTTCGGCGGAGACCCAGGTTGGGCGACCTTGTTTGGCCAGTCATCAGGGGCCATGTGCATCTCGGGACTGGTGAGTGCAGTACTCAGACAGACCAAAGCAGGGACGCAGGCCCGCATGGCCTACGGGTTCTGCACAGATACGTGTGAAGATTTGCATATGCAAGAACATTCCGGTCCACAGACCTGCCTTCACCCCTGCCATGGGTACCGCCCCGCACAGCCAAGGATGTCCATTACATTCAGGGAGCACTGATGAGAAAACCAAGCCAGCCCAGGAAAGGCAATGCTAACACTATGGATGTGGTGGGCCATAAAGATCACCCAGCACCTCCTGCCCCTCCACATTCCCCCAGAGCTCTATGCCTGTAACAGAGCCCCCCATCTGCCCTCTGGGCAAGGTTGGGGCCACCGACCAGGCCTGGGACTCAGGCCTGTGTTAGAGACTGGGCTTTGCCCCTGACTCCTGGGGTACCACTGACCTGGAGTGTTCCTGTACTGTGGGTGTAAGGTCAGGTGCCCTGTGAGGGACATGTGGCTGGGCAGTGAGCAGGGACCACATCACACAAGGCCTTGTGGGCCACAATAATAATGCTCAAACACTGGAGCACATTCCATGTGCCAGTCACTCTTCTAAGCACCTTAGGTGTATTCACTTGTTAATAACCTCAACAATCCAAAAAGAAGAGTATTCCCTTTCTTCCCTCTGCAAAAAGAGAAGTCTTCTCCACTCTACAGATGAAGAAAGTGAGGCCCAGAGAAGTTAAGCAACTTTATTTAAAATGCACTGGAGAGCAGGGAAAGATTTTTTTTTTTAAGGTCAAGTCTTGTATTTATTTATTTATTTTTGGCTGCGTTGGGTCTTTGTTGCTGCATGTGGGGGCTACTCTTCGTTTCAGTGCGTGGGCTTCTCATTGTGGTGGCTTCTCTTTCTGCGGAGCACGGGCTCTAGGCGCGCGGGCTTCAGTAGTTGTGGCATGCGGGTTCTAGAGTGCAGGCTCAGTAGTTTTGGCGCACGGGCTTAGTTGCTCCACGGCATGTGGGATCTTCCCAGACCAGGGCTCGAACCCGTGTCCCCTGCATTGGCAGGCAGATTCTTAACCACTGCGCCACCAGGGAAGTCCCAAGCAGGGGGAGATTTTAAGCAGGGGAGTGACACAATCAGATGTGCATTTAGAGTTGCCTCAGTCTGCTGGAACTGGGTTAAAAAGAAGCACAAGCAGAGGCTTGGAGACCAGCTTGGGGTGGGGGGTGGCATATCTAATGGGGGCTGTTTCTGAAATAGAGGTAGAAAGGATGGACAGTAGAGGATGGCTGCAGAGTGATGCAGGCGGCCAAGTGGACAGGACAGGGGCAGCTGCAGCATACGGATGACCAGAAGATAGAGGGAAGGCCCCTGGGGCTAGGTGGATGCTATGGGTGAGGGACAACACCCAGATAGGGTGTGGCTGGAGCAAGTTTTGGGCACATGAAGTCTGAGGTGCCCAAGGGACAGGATGAGGGTCTCAGATATGGTTGTTCCCTCCAACTTGGGCAGCAGAGAAAGGCTAAGAGCTCTCAGTGCAGATAATTGGGGCCCTGGGAAGCATATGGCCCCCTCTCCCACACTGCTAGCCCAGCAGCAGAGGGAGGCCCTTTCTGGTTGTTACACCAGCAGAACCACTATAACAACACTAGATCCCCTCTGGGACCCCTGGGGCCCGTTGAACAGACCAGAACAAGGATGCCCAGAGACAGGACGGCACTGGCTCTAGGTCTAGGACCCCAGCCCAGAACTCCTGACTCCCTCCCAGCTTCTGCCCTCTCTGAGCGCCTTCAGGCTGCCCAGCCATGGCCAGTGGTCCCCACTTCTGCATCTCATGGGTGCAATTCTCCCCACCCCTGCAGGTGACATCACCCCTAGCCTGGGGTCTCTTCCATCAGGCCATTTCCCTGAGTGGCACCGCAGTGCTAGAGTCTTCATCACTTCATCACCTGGCTGAGGTTTAGCTGGGCTTGATTCACGCCAGTGCCTACAGGGGACATTCTGCCCTGAGGATCCAGGCTGGTCCAGACCTGCTTCTGAGGGTCCCTCAGTTCTCCCCTCCTCAGGCTTTCTCACACAGGTCTGGGGAAGGGAGTTTCTCCAAACAGCCACCCAGAAGCTATTCTTCCCCAAATTAGAGGGAGAGCAGCTGAGCGGAAGCCAGTCAGGCTGCAGCAGCTGCGAGGATCATAAAGGACTTTGGGAAACTCTAGGACCTTCTCTAGGAATTCAAGCAAGAACTCCGGTAGGCAGCCTGGATGGTGAGCTGGGCCCCTGCCTCCCATCGTCCCTGCCTCATACCCTCCCCATCCGCCCCGGAGGGTACCTCTCTTCCTGTCTGCTCCTCGCGGATGGCGCTCCTGAATGAGGGGGTTGGAGAGGGCTACCCACTGCCCTGTCTCCACCCTGTCTTCATGCCTTCGCTGGAATCCCCCGATGGCCACCCAGAGTCCTTCCTAAATTCCCTGCCAGACCCTACCCCGCAGGGAGCGGTTCTCAGAACTGATTAGACCTTGGTGAAGACCCCAGGACAATTCTGTGGCTTTTCTCCAAGTTTACCTCGGCTCGCCCGGGCCACTCTGAGCACGGAGGCGCACCGCTGCAAAGCTGGCCTGGGAACCGGGCGCGCACACGCGTCTCCTGCAGGCCCCTGCGGCTCAGCTCGCCCCTTCCTCTCCTCCAACACCCCGAGATCCCCACCCACTGAAGCAGCAATCACCGGCCGTGGCGGCTGGGGAAAGGCCAATTAGTGCGGGAGACGCAGCCCCTCGGCTGTGCCCGCGCTGACCGCAGCCCCGCAGCGTCGCCGCCGCCGCCGCCTTCCCTGCCCGGCAGACAGCGCCAGCCGCCTGGGAGCCCCGGGGGACGCGCCGTCCGGCCTCCAGCCAACAGCAGTGATGGATCCAGGCGCCTGGCGTGGGGCCAGAGCCCGGGCGGACGCGAGGGCGCCGGGAGCTGCAACTCGCCACCGCTGGGTGGTGGGGGTGAGCGGAACGGGGCCTCCCTCCCTGTGAGGGCTCCTGCACCCCCGACGGCCTGCGCCCCGGCGCCTGCCTTCTTCAAAAGCCAGGCAGGCGGGCTGCAGCGGCGCAGCGGCGGGCGGGTGGGGGTGGGGGAGGGTGGGGGAGGCCCTCTTACCGCCTCAAGGTCCTTTGACTTCGGGACCTCCGAAGCTCTGGCCTAGGCTGGCCGAGCCCAGAGCAGTTCCCTTTTGGAAGCCTTAGCAGGACCTGGCTTTAGAAAGCCTCGGCTTGTGCTTGATTAAAGCTCCCGTGCAAGAGGAGGTGGGCAGAAGGGTGGGTGGGCAGTGCCGGGCCACAGGTCTCTTTCACCGATGCATGAATGCATGCACTTCCTCCGCTGGGTCCCTGCCCTGCACAACCTGCCTCACCCACCTGTAGGCTTTGGGAGACCCAAGAGGCATCAGGCTTGCCCTCCAGGAGCCCTCAGGCTGTGGGCAGAAGCTCCAGGGGCTTGGCTGGGATCCCAAGCTAATGGAAACTCTGCGGTCCAGGGAGGCTTCAGGTGAAGGAAAGGGGCAGGCACTTCAGGGCTTCCCCTTCCCCCAACTGACTCCTTTTCGGCCCAAGCTGGACACACTGGAGCCCTGTACTGAGGGACAAGGTGGGCCTAAGCCCAGGACACACTCTGGATGCGGCTGAGGAAGGGTTTGGCAGGAAGGTTCACAAATGGGGTTCACCAAAGAGATCTACTGCAGGATACTTGTTTCCCCCACCTGTGCCACAAGGGGCTGGGTTAGAGGTGCTGAGTCCCTTGACCAGTCCTGGATGCAGTAGTGTGGGGTTCAGGGTGGCTTTTTCCCTGTGACCCCCCCCCACAACTCAGGTCTGGCCTTGGTAGGGAAGGGCTGGGGGCCTGCCTTGTGCCCCAGAACCTCACTCAGGCCCTGGTGGGCCAGACTTCCTGTGAGGGAGAAGGGATCACTTCTAAGGGAGTGAGAATTCCCCTTTCTCCGTACCAAGCTCATTAGCTGTGTGTGTGGCAGGGGGGAAAACTGAGAAATTGGGGCATGGGGACTGAGTGAGGAAGGGAGACAATGACACAGATAGCACCTTGGGTCCTTTGTGGAATGAGATGACAGCGCATTGAATTAAAGCATGAGGAAAGGTACGGAGACAGGTGAAAGAGACTGTGGAACAATCTGCCGAGAAAGCCAGGGAGTGGAGGAAAGAAACAGAAGCAGGTGGACACACGCCCAGACAAGCAAATGGACAGAGAGACAGGGCAGTGCCGGGGGCTGTCCAGGCTGGAGAAGGGCAGTACCTGGGCACTCAGAAGGGGGCAGTGGGCCCTGTTTCTCATCTCAGTTGTCTGGCTGCCGAGACCCTTGGGGGCATGATAGAAACGATCATCTGGAAAGGCTGTGGGAGCACAGGGATGACCTATCTTGGGTTGGGTTGGGGTGTCAGGAGGGCTTCCAGGAGGAGCACCTGAAAGGACCAGTAGGAAAGACTGGAGGGGATGGAGGTGGAGAGGGAGGGGGAGCTGCGTCAGAGGCGCAGCAGAAAGACAGGCCTGGAGGCAGGAATTAGCCTGTTCCATCCCAACAGTTCTGCGTCATTTTGGCCCACACAGGACGACTAAAAGAGGAACCAGGCCCAGAGCTGGAGGACCAGTCCTGTAAGCCTGGGAGAGAGCACGGCCTCTACCCTGAGGTACTGGGGAGCCATGGGAAGGACATGTCCTGGTCAGGCTTATCTTCCAGGAGGTTACAGAGTACAGAGCAACTGGAGGAGGAGAGGGAAGAAGTGGGGAGGCCGGGGGAGGGTGGTGCAGAACTGGACAGTGAGTTCTGGACATGGAACAGAGCAAACAATTTCATAAAGCAGATGGGCGAGGTCAACTCTGAACACCCCCTCTCCCCCATCCATAGGTGGGCCCCTGGCTCAGAGCTCTCCCACCCAGCCCAGCCTGGGAACTCATGTGAACCCTCCGCAGGGCCTGGGGTATCTCTGCCCCAACCAAGTGGAACCAGGAAAAGCCCCAAGAGGGAGTCCAGTCCAAGGTGAGGGCACAGGCAGGGCCAGGTGTTGCTGAGGAAGCTCCCCCCTCCACGCTCCCTCCCCCTGCATAAGCTAATCAAGATAGTACTGCAGCCTCCTGCCACTGACCCTCTATCATTGCAACGATAGCTCCATGGCCACAGGGGGTTGAGTCTGGGCCTATTTGTCTGTGGAGCAAATCAGAAGGGGAGGAAGGTCCACGTGAGCCCTGAAAGAACTCAGAGGCTGAGAGCAGGTGGCCTCACGGAGCAGAGGTCAACGTATCTCTTTTAGGCAGAGTTTGGGAGCTGCGTGCTCCTGTCTGGGCTTGTTCCTCTGTGTGTGTCCTCGAGCAAGCCACTCTCCTATCTAGGTCTGGTTTCCACTCTCCAGTGCACCGGGAGCAATCTCTGGGGTAGGACGCTGCTCCAGCCCCGGGCCCTTCCAGCTATGGTCCAGGACTCCTGTCTACTCCCAGCCTGTTCAGCCGTAGGTGCTGTGGAGGAGCACGCCTGTGGCTTCACCAAGGAGTCACTGGGTGACCATTACGTATCTTCTACTGTGAAGGAGCCAGGACCCTTTTGAAGGGGAGCCTGAAGGTGGAAGAAAAGCCTTTCGGGAAATTAGCACTAGTGGCAGGAAAATTCATCAAAAGCTGACAGGGGCTCCTGGTGCTGATTCATGTCTCTTGCCTAAGGAGCAGCTCTTCTGGCCTGAGGGAAGGACTAGTAGCTTCCAGAGCCTTCCAAAGACCCCAGACCCAAGACTCCAAAACGCTGGCCCGGTTGCTGGGGCTCTCACCATCTGGTGGGGACACCACCATGAGTTTTTTGCTCCTGAATCATGGGATTCTACAGTGCTAGGAAAGGCTGCTGATGGACAGGGGACTTGGGTTTGAATACAACTGTTCCTTCTGCTCTGTGATCTCAGACACTCGGTGGGCCTCTCTGATCCTCTCTGCCAGGAGGAATTCTGACCTTGCCTGCCTTCTAGGTAACCAATACATCTATAATCCTCAGCATATCTGGGAAAAGAATAACTTTTCGAAGAGGGAGGATGGAACCATATCCAAACAACTGTTGGTAGTGGGACCAAGGCAGCAGGGAAACAGTCTGGATGTGGACCTCATTCTGGTGGCACAGACTCCCTCCCACTTCCAGGTATTATGGAAGCCAGAAGAGCTGTTGCAAGACACACCTCCAGGAGCACCACTTACCTGGTTTACAGTGTGAATGAGCCCCAGGATGTTACCTGAGCTCCATGCCCTACCTCCTCTGAACTTGCCACCTACACGCACAAGTACAACACCCATGCCTCAGAGAAGGCTCTGATGGGATCTCTTGGTTACCACCTAACCCAAAGCATCCACACTGGACAGTCTTTGCAGCTCCGTCCTCCCCTCCAGCCTGTCCATGTTTACCTTCAGCTCCCAGAACTGGTCCAGCCACCAGGCCAGCCAGATTATGTGAAGCAGAATCCTTTGAAGGGGCTATGGATGTAGCAGACCCCAGAGCCACAGGGAATCCCTTCCAGGGCCACTCTGACCCTGGCACTGCCACTGTCTCTGGCTCAGCTACAAAAGGAGGCACACCACAGGCAGCTATCCTCTGCTGTAGGAGATCATTAACTCCCCAGCCTTGTTAAGCCAGCTTCCTTTTTCAGGCCCTTCTTAGCTCATTTTATGTTGTTTTTTTTTTTTTTGAGGGGGTTTCTTTTGGCCACAGTGTGAGGCATGTGGGATCTTAGCTCCCTGACCCGGGATCGAACCTACGCCCCCTGCAGTGGAAGCATGGAGTCTTAACCACTGGATGGCCAAGGAAGCCGCCTCATTTTATGATATTTTGACTGGACCTTGTATGGACTCAAGTTGTTTTCCAGTTCTTCCCTTGATGGCCAACATTTACAGCTGGATTTTTATCAAAGTATGAAGTTGTACAAATCCTAGAATTTCATAGCTAGAAAGGACCTTAAAGATTGTCGTAGCCACCATGCTTTGAGAGTTTATAACTTTGTGTCAGACACTTTGTACAGATGTTTTTGGCTGCCCAGTATATCCTTTCCTTTTCCTATGACATCACCCTGTCCACAGAGATTCACAGTGTCCACACTTCAGGGATGAGCACGTAACCCAAATTTGGCCTATTAAAGTCAATCCCAAGATTTTTGTGGGAATATCAGGAAAGAGTAGTCCTTACCTCTTGAAGGTGAGTCAGCAGGTGAATGAAGCTAAAACATAACAAAGAGACCGAGAGAAAGAGAGACAGACAGACAGAGACAGAAAGAGAGACAGAGACAGATTTCTGGTTTCAGTGCTTGAACACCTGGATCTAGCCATGCCTGAACCAAGAATTTTCAATTAAATGAACTGATACATTCCCTTTTTTTGTGGAGTTAGTTTTAATTGGGTTTTTGTCACTTGAAGCCAAAACAGTCTTGACAAGTATGAGTAGATGTCTCTGTCCTCAATTTTTTGATTAGAAATCTGAGGAACCAGCTAGCTCTGGGTTCTCAGGCAAGTCACTAAAGCTCTCTGACATCAGGTTGCTCTGACAAAGATTGAAAGGACTGAATTTCTTCAACTTCAGGACTCCTTTGCTCTCCTGGGATCTCTGGAGCTACCTGGCCACATGCCTTTAAAAGAATCAATCACTTGTTGTGAGTCTCAATTTTCTGAGCTACAAAATAGGACAGTCATTCCTTCCCTCCTTACCTTGGGAGAGTCCAGTGAGAAAGTGTTTGGAAAATTGCTTGTACTGAAGCAAATGTTATGTAGTGTGCATATTATACAGAGGAGGAATCTCAGCTCATACCAGACAACCATTGTCCCCAAATGGCTCATATCTCTTCCAAAACAGTTTTTTAACACTTTTAAAAATAAAACTTAAGACATTAAAACATATTTATAAAGAAGGCTTACCCACAGCATCTCATTGGGCAGGATCTAGCTCAGGACAGGCCCAGGTAAAGTAAGAGATATGGCACTGAGTGAAGCTTGCTTGGGAATCACTCTTTGTCACTCTTTGCTGTGAGCTCTCTAGGAAGCTTTACCTTCAGGCTGTTTTTTGTTTTGTTTTGTTTTAATAAATTTATTTATTTTTTGAGGCTGCGTTGGGTTTTCGTTGCTGCACGTGGGCTTTTCCTAGTGGCAAGTGGGGGCTACTCTTCATTGTGGTGCGTGGGCTTCTCATTGTGGTGGCTTCTCTTGTTGGGGAGCATGGGCTCTAGGCGTGCAGGCTTCAGTAGTTGTGGCACACGGGCTCAGTAGTTGTGGCTCGTGGACTCTAGAGTGCAATACTTGTGGCGCACAGGCTTAGTTGCTCCGTGGCACATGGGATCCTCCCGGACCAGGGCTCAAACCTGTGTCCCCTGCATTGGCAGGCAGATTCTTAACCACTGCGCCACGAGGGAAGTGCCACAGGCTGTTTTTTAAGGAGTGCCCTTGGGATCAGAACCTGTTGATGGGAGAGGAAGGAAGCAGAACTGGGTGGAGGGAGAAGCCAAGCTCCACTGCAGGCCCAACAACAGCTTCAGCTGACTCCACGGGGAGCGTTAGAGCTATTATGACCCATCAGCATTGCCCTGCTGGGCCTTTACAATCCCATCTTGATCAGTCATTGGATGTGAGCTGCCCAGGAAGGAAGAGTGACCTGCAGGTAGCTCTCTGCAGCTCAGGAAATCCCTGAGGGGGATAAGAGCATCCCAGCTGCTGGGGTAACAAGTCCTTCACTGAAGAGAGATCTGGGTGGTGCATCTCTGTGTCCATGTTAATCACCAACACTACTCAAGCTGCAAGGCATGCTGGGAGCTCCCCTTGGGCAGGAGGGAGCAAGATGAAGTTAGCATAAGGTGGGGCTGGGGAAGCTACCAAGACTGTGAGGTGTCCTTGAGGAGGTTGCATTTAGCCTCCAGGGCAGGCATTGGTGAGGGGATGCTATGGGGCAGTCATTCTGCTCAGCAGAGTTGAGAAAGATTTCTCAGAGGCCTCTGAACCCACATTTAATGGAAGAGTATGAATTTGCTTGGCTGAGAAGGGGAAAGAAGCAAGCTAAACAGAGGAAGTTAGGCAGGGCTGGAACAGTCTGAAGCTGAACTCCTTGACCATTCACTCAGAAGCGTCATCTAGAGGAAGAGGGCTACTGTCTGCTTTATTAATTATTCCTCATGTTCCTAGAGGGAAAGCAGGCCGGTGAGGTGGACGTTGGCTAGTAATTCTGGCTGCCTATTTATAAGGCCATGTTACAGCATGATGGGAAGCCCTGCCTGCAAGGATGGTTTAGAGCTTGTCAAATTTGGGAAAGAATCCAAGAACAGAGCAAGGTGTCAAGGTATCAGCAGAGAGACAAAAGGAGAGGTGGTAAAAGAGGATGCGTTTGGACTCAAGAGTTGATGAATGAGCAGAACTGAGTGTTGAATTATTCAACCTGCCTTATTGATCCATTGATCTCTCTCTGCAGGTCTTGGTTTATTCTTGGTTGGCATTTCCTGTGTCTGAGATAGTGAGAAGAGAAATGGAGGGAAGAGGAACAGATTTTTAAGACTCAAGAAGAGAGAAGAGGCAGTGCCAAAGAGAAATTTGGCTACAGGTATCAGGAAGCTTAAAATGCCTGTGTCTTTTGACATAGTGGATCTATTTCTGGAAACTGACCCTAAAAACACTATCCAAAACTTTTAAGAAAAAGCCTTAAGCACCACGATGTTCACAGAAGCCTTATTTTATAACAGTGAATAATGGGAAACAACCTAAATAGATGTCCGACAACAGGGGATCAGCCAAGATGCCATTAGGAGTTTTATATGATTACGTGGGAAAATACTTACGCCATAGGGTTAGGTCATAATGGAACATTCAAAACTGTACATATAGAATGTCATAGCTGGGTGAAGAAATGTGGATAGAAAGAGGCCAAAGAAAATATACTGAAATGTTAGCAGTGATTGTTTTGAAGTGGTGGACTCTCTTCTTTTCCTATATTTCCTAAATTTTCTACAATAAATACACACAAGTTTTAAATAATTAAAACGAAATGTAAGGGTGGAGTGAGAGACACTCACATGAAGCCTGCACAGAAGTAAAATAAACACAAATTACTGGGGAGCCAACTCCTTCCAGAACCCAGGGTACTGCTGTGTCCTAGGTGTGCTGACCATCTCCCTGGCATATTGAATGGACACAACGGAGAGAATGAGGTGACACTGTGGTGCAGTCACTCTGCAGAGGACAATCAAAGGCCCCTGAACTCATATTTAAAGAAAAAGTATGAGTTTTCCTAGCAGAGAAGAGGGAGGAAGTCATGCTCGGTAGAGGGAACAGTTAGAGCAAAGGCACTGAGGCATGTGGGAAACGCAGGCAGGCCAGTGTGGCTGGATTACAGGGTGCCATGGGGAGAAATGATGGGAGATGGGATTGGAAAGGAAAGTAATGACTGTCAGAGGATCACGAATGCTGGACTGAGGGACTTTGCCTCTCAGCCATAGGCAGACCGGAGACTTGGGGGAGGGGTTTAAGCAGGAGGGCACTGTGGTTAGAGCACCGCATTCTCCAGTCCCTAGTGTAGTCTGTTTCCCATCACCCTCCAGAAACTTGGAGAGTAGGGGAGGGGAAGGGGAGCAGTCCAGCAGCCCTCACAGATGGTCAGCCAGGCCTCCTGACACCAGCCTGGCCCTCTTCCCACCACACCAGGTTCAGTCCCCAACCCCAGCCATCCAGACAAACTCCTCCACCTCCCATGACAAAGAGGCTCATTTGGAGCCTGGGCAAGATTTGCAAACGTCAAACTTGTAATTACAAGGATGAAATCATCTGGTTCCTTTTAAGCAAACGGGTTTATTGATCCCAACACTGGAGAAATGCTCTTCTGGGGAAACTTGCTCCTCTCTGCTTTCCTCTCCCTCTGGGATGGCTGAGCTGATGGAGGGAGTGTGGCAGGGCAGTTAAGAAGCGGGAAAACCTCCCAGAGGGGAAATTCTTAAGGGCCTAAGGGTGAATTGTATGGTATGTAAATTATATCTCCAAAAAATTATTTAGGGCTCAGGAAACTGCCTCATTTAGGCAGATGATACCCTCATCCTGGACTTAAGCTCATCTCCATCCAAAAACTAGAAGCTGGGGAGAGCCAGGCTTTAGTGGCTCTGTGCCAGCCCCTAATTCTCCTTCTCTCCCACCCCCCTCAACATTCATTTGTGGCTCCAGATCCTATTTCAGCTTCAAGATGGTACACTATTTCCTCACTAACTGACGGGAAACTGTTTCTTCAGAAAATAGCGCACCAGTGGCTCAGGGACCTGGAAGGACTTCACCCTCACTTTGAGGAGAGACAGGTGTGGGTGGCAGCTAAGACCAGATCTGTATAAAGCCATCCTTTCTGCTGGACCTGGGAGGCAGGACGTCTAGGCCTTGACCTTCCAAGCCAAGGAGGGACAAACAATTGGGCTCAGGGGGCAGGAATGTGCAACCATCAAGGGCAAGAGCCACGTCCTGCCTCAAGGCCCACAGTAGGACCCCCTTCATTCAACCCGTTGGGGCCCCTTTGGGAGCATGGTAGGGTGCTTCAGGAGGAATGACCCCAGCCACAGCTCTCCACAAGCTCGCAGTTCAGTTAAGGAGACAAGCAGGACTTTTGGCATCTCTACCGGTACAGGCCTTGGAATGGAATGGTTAAGGGCACCAGCCCCTCTGAACCCCAGTTTTCTCATCTGTAGAACAGGGTCAATAACAACAAACTTGCAGGTTTATGCTGAGGAGTGGACAAAGAGGATACACCCCAAAGGCTTAGCCATTTCATTACCTCTCATGGATCAGGGTCCTGTCCATGTCCTGTGGTCACTTATTTACCTTTTCGGAGCCTCTATTTCCTTATCTGTCAGACAGGGACAAGGAGGACTGTCTTAGAAGGTGGTTGTGGGAATTAACTGACATAAGGGGCAAAAAAGCACCCAGTTCAGAGCTTCACAGTTGGGCCAGACAATTAAGGGTTCCCTCAATACCCTACTCAGGGGTATTGTGGTTTCTCTGCCCACCATCCAAGATCAGTGGGAGCAGCTGCCCACTGGGAAAGCAGGAGAGAGGAGGCCCTGGGCTGACGGAATCCTTAGGAGAGGAAGGCTCCAAACAGCAGGGCTTCAGAGAATTCAGCCAGGTTTGTGGGGTTGGGAGGGTGTTTCTAGGCAATGGACAGACACCCTCAGGCTTCCATCTGTGGGCCCTACTAGAGCTGGCTCTTAGCAAACTCCTTCACTGGGTGGTGCCTGGACCAATCCATACTCATCTGGACAGAAGCACAGAGCTAAATATACCTGATGTAGGTGAAATTTTCCTTTATTAATTTCCTTTAATCCAGTTTTTAAAATAAGTGAAAAAAATTTAACAACAACCAAAAAAGGCATACAGAGGTCAGTCGAGGAGATGGCCTCCTTCAGCCTGCGGCTCGTTTCCCGGTCATCCTGGCCGGTTGGACGCCAGACAATGGCGAGTGTGGGTTACCCTGTGGCCTGGAGTTGCCAAAGGCTGTCTGTGGTGCTGCTGTTCTGGGTCCGCCTGGCAGACTTTCCCATCCCTTTCCTTCAGGCCGTCATCCCCCCCAACCCCCACCCCCGTGAGGCTGACACTTAGAGTGCTCTGTCCTGCTCTGAACTCCCACTGCTCCGAGTCCTGCCCCCTTAAGCCTAGAAGGGATTTGTCTTGACCATGACCTTTTCCTTGTCAAAAAAGTTCATGGGGGCTTTCTGCCTCTGCTGCTGCCAAGGCCCCTGTGAAAAAGCCTGTGGCGAACGGGGGCAAAAAAAGAAGCTAGTACTGAAGTTTACCCTTGACTGCATCCACCCCGCAAAAGATGGAATCATGGATGCTGCCAATTTTGAGCAGTTTCTTTAGGAGAGAATCAAAGTGAATGGAAAAGCTGGGAAACTTGGTGGAGGGGTTGTAACAATCAAGAGAAGCAAGAGCAGGATGACTGTAATGTCTGAGGTGCCTTCTCCCAAAAGGTATTTGAAATATCTCACCAAAAAATATTTGAAGAAGAATAATCTACATGATTGGTTATGCGTAGTTGCTAACAGCAAAGAGAGTTACGAATTGCATTTCTTCCAGATTAATCAAGATGAAGAA